TCTCTATGTAGGGGCGGTGATAATGTCTCTATGTAGGGGCGGTGATAATGTCTCTATGTAGGGGCGGTGATAATGTCTCTATGTAGGGGCGGTGGATATATCTCTATGTAGGGGCGGTGATGATATCTTTATGTAGGGGCGGTGATGATGTCTCTATGTAGGGGCGGTGATAATGTCTCTATGTAGGGGCGGTGGTTGTATCTCTATGTAGGGGCGATGGTTATTTCTCTATGTAGGGGCGGTGATAATGTCTCTATTTAGGGGCGGTGTTGATGTATCTATGTTGGGGCGGTGATAATGTCTCTATGTAGGAGCGGTGATAATGTCTCTATGTAGGGGCGGTGGTTGTATCTCTATGTAGGGGCGATGGTTATATCTTTATGTAGGGGCGGTGATTATGTCTCTATGTAGGGGCGGTGGATATATCTCTATGGAGGGGCGGTGATGATATCTTTATGTAGGGGCGGTGATGATGTCTCTATGTAGGGGCGGTGGTTATATCTCCATGTAGGGGCGGTGATAATGTCTCTATGTGGGGGCGGTGATATATCTCTATGTAGGGGCGGTGGTTATATCTCCATGTAGGGGCGGTGATAATGTCTCTATGTAGGGGCCGTGGATATATCTCTATGTAGGGGCGGTGATTATGTCTCTATGTAGGGGCGGTGGATATATCTCTATGGAGGGGCGGTGATGATGTCTCTATGTAGGGGCGGTGATAATGTCTCTATTTAGGGGCGGTGTTGATGTATCTATGTTGGGGCGGTGATAATGTCTCTATGTAGGAGCGGTGATAATGTCTCTATGTAGGGGCGGTGAGAATGTCTCTATGTAGGGGCGGTGATAATGTCGCTATGTAGGGGCGGTGATAATGTCTCTATTTAGGGGCGGTGTTGATGTATCTATGTTGGGGCGGTGATAATGTCTCTATGTAGGGGCGGTGGTTGTATCTCTATGTAGGGGCGATGGTTATATCTTTATGTAGGGGCGGTGATAATGTCTCTATGTGGGGGCGGTGATATATCTCTATGTAGGGGCGGTGGTAATGTCTCTTTGTAGGGGCGGTGATAATGTCTCTATGTAGGGGCGGTGGTTGTATCTCTATGTAGGGGCGATGGTTATTTCTCTATGTAGGGGCGGTGATAATGTCTCTTTGTAGGGGCGGTGGTAATGTCTCTATGTAGGGGCGGTGATATATCTCTCTGTAGGGGCGGTGGTAATGTCTCTATGTAGGGGCGGTGGATATATCTCTATGGAGGGGCGGTGATGATATCTTTATGTAGGGGCGGTGATGATGTCTCTATGTAGGGGCGGTGGTTATGTCTCTATGTAGGGGCGGTGATAATGTCTCTATTTAGGGGCGGTGTTGATGTATCTATGTTGGGGCGGTGATAATGTCTCTATGTAGGGGCGGTGGTAATGTCTCTTTGTAGGGGCGGTGATAATGTCTCTATGTAGGGGCGGTGATAATGGTGATAATGGTGATAACATCTCGCTGTATTATGTTGGATCTCCCTATGATTGATAACTTTCTCTACCTCTTAAACTAGACCGCATCACTACTCCTACACAAAGAGGTAATTGCCACTCTAACATATAACACTACCACATCGAAGAGATGAGTACAATGTAGTTTCACAACAGAGACTTTGTATAACTATCTCTGTATAGAAACAGTCTTTAATGTATAACATATAACATGATCAGAATCCGTTATATTTAACGGATAAATAAGTTTTTTTTTCAATGCCAGGTCGTCAAATCAAAGACTGACTTGGCATCACAGTGCTAGTTGACTTCACACGACGAAACATAATACAAACTTAGGATTTCTTAATTAATGACAGAAACTTCAAACTTTTATTTGCACTTTCCATTTTATAGTCTGAGGAATAGACATCACAAAAATACACACAATCCGTCATTTAATAAAAACGAATTGCTCCTTTAGTAACACAGCCATCAACGACTCAATCACCAATAGGAAGTACGTTCAACCCCCAGTCCCCAAATACGCCCTCAACCAACCCACCTACCGACGCACCCGGTAAATAACATTCACAAATCTGTAACACTTATCATAAACATAGGTTATTACCGATAAGTAACATCATAAGTACTAATCCCTTCTAAAGGCATTGCAGATTACAAATAAAAGACTATGACAAATATTGATACAGTCTTGCTTTCTCCATTGCTGTCATTTGCTTCTGTTAAGCTCAATGATTTCACATCAAGCTTTGCTTTATGTTGATCCTAAATTGCTGCTTTAGTAACAAAGCCTTCAGCGACATTAGCTCCACCACAAACCACGCTTCCAAGGTAAATCCCTTGTATATGGTCAGCCTGGTTCACAGCCCTATCTTGACGTCATACAGGATACACTATGCAGGCTACATTATACTGACGTCTCAGCACATACAGAATATTATACTCTACAGATTACACTGTGAATATTTCTTAACACTATACAGACTACACCATACAGACAACGTTATACTGACATCTACACACTACACAGACTATATACACAATACAAGTTTCGTTACACCATACATACTTCATTATACAGGCATAATAATACTGAAGTCTCAGCATAAATACTATCCTGATAGCGCTGTAGATATTTCTTTGCACCATACAGACAACATTATATGGACTTCTAGGCACTATACAGAAAACTACGTATTACTATAGTATATAGATTTCTTTACACCATAGAGACTACACTATACAGACTACATTGTACACAACCACTCAGCTGTGTACAGACTGCTCTCCATTATACCGACTATCTTGACACGTCCATTTTGAGTGTCAATATCATAATATCTGCCTACCTAGCTTCTATTGCTTTTAACAAAGTATATGCCGCTTCCTTTGCGTCCTTAGCATCCAGTACAGCAGCACCAACTCAGGCTCCTCAGTGGACAAACCCTCCGCATCAACCTCAGCCACCAGGTAAAGTCAAGTTAATTCGCCTCTGTGTTGACATCAAAGGGAGAAGTGCGACAACTCGTACACTTACCACTCATGGGCTATAGTAAGACAAAGACTGAAAGCGGCTGTAAAATGCACCTGTCAGAGATATGTATGCTCTCTTGAAACGATATTCTGTGACTATGAGCACTCTATATGCACCTTTGGATTGATTGTATACGCCTGTACGGCAGTATGCATACGCCGTCGAAATGATTTGCATGCCTCTGTTAAGCGAAGAAATGAAATGTCTGCGCCTGTTAAGCGGTATATATTCGTTTGTAAAGCATTATGCAATCGCCCTCGAAACGATATGTAGGCCTCAAGGGACATGTTTGCGTGTGTTAAGCAGCTTGTAGGCGCTCTTGCAGCGTTATGCCTATGCCTTTAAACTACTGCGCATGTGTCTGTGAAGTACTGTGTATAGTATGTGTTTTGTGACGTTGCCTGTGTATACTATGTGTTTTGTGACGTCGCCTGTGTATACTATGTGTTTTGTGACGTCGCCTGTGTATACTATTAGTTATCACGTCGAAGGCCCTTTGGATAAAAAAAACCCTGCAAAATAATACAAAATTCAACATTTATTCCTACAATAACAATTTTAACATATAAAATTTAATACATAAATTTTATCCCGCCTCAGGCAAAAATCCTGTAGTCCTATTGGTTAAAACGACGTTACATGATATCCAGTATATTTTCATATTAACATTTCATCGGCTGTCGTCTGCACAAACCGCTTGGTCGCCATCTTGTTACAAGTTGACTCTTATGGGCAAAGAACGATAACTCTTTGGTACTCACCTAATGTGAGATTCTACTGACCTAATATGAAAATATACTGGATATCATGTGACGTCGTTTTAACCAATAGGACTACAGGATTTTTGCCTGAGGCGGGATAATATGTGTTTTGAGACGTTGCCTGTGTATACTATGTGTTTTGGGACGTCGCCTGTGTATAATATGTGTTTTGTGACGTCGCCTGTTTATTCTATGTGTTTTGTGACGTCGCCTGTGTATACTATGTGTCTGCGAAGCACTATGTATACTATGTGTTTTGTGACCTCGCCTGTGCAGCGCCTTTTCTGTGTTTATGCTTGATTCTGAAGTACATTATGCACAGCTTCAATTGCTTGCTTTAATCGCTAACACTATCGCTCTGCATTTCAGCAAACTTCTGCTCCGGAAAGACTGACGGTATTCACTCTGACCCAAGCGACTGTGGCTTTTTCTATGAGTGCGCCTCTGGTTTGGAGTTCCACGAACGCTGTTCCCCCGGAACCGTGTTCAACGACAAATCCCTTAATTGCGACTATCCTCAACACGTGCCGAAATGCGCGGGGTCTGGGAAATAAACGCGACTACATATCGTCATGTGTATTTGACAGAACAATTGTAATTTATTCAATAAAATGTCGAACAAAGTTGAGTTTTATTGATTTGGTTATGTTGAGCTATGTAACTGCTCCATCAGTACGTAAAGTTAGCACGCCATTCCGCACTAAGGGTTGTCTTCCGTGTAATAGTGTGTGTGCTGCAATGGCAGATATGTAACGGCTGTATGTGTCTCTGTTTCAGTGACTAACTCCAACAACATCTGTCTTGGCAAGACGGATGGATACTTTCTTGATCCCCAAGACTGTGGATTTTTCTTCCAATGTGCCTTCGGCCTCGCCTTCCATGAACCATGTCCCCCAAGTCTCTCCTTCAACGAAAAAATTCGTGCTTGTGATTATCCCACCAACGTACCCGCCTGCGCACACTATCATGGCTGAAAATAATGTTTTTATTAAAATAGATTGAAAAAAAAATTGCGTTGCCTTTATGTGAATAGAACATGATACGAAGTTTAAAACTATACAGTTTTGTTTGTGGTTTAACGTTCTCGGAACAACTTAGGTCATATGAAGTCTGGTGTTTAGGGAGATACCACAGACAGGAGAGAGTATGGAAAGGAGATAAGGAAAGATAACGATCCAAAATGTGACAAGGGCAGCTGATCAATTGTGGTTTCTCCATTTGTTTTAGCAGAAACACTGAAGAAAACCCCCCATATCTGCGGGAGGCTACACAATAGTCCAATCTTGCGACATGCAGGGATAAAAAACGGGCTGTCATTTACACTGAATATATCAGTTCAACGTTTATACTGCTGCACAGTCTTAGTGAATATCATTGCTCCTGGAATCCCTTACAAGAACGGTCATTCAGTGCCAGAATGTGCATCCATATAACTGGGCCGACTGACAAGTAAGATCACAGGGATTGCAATTATAACGTCATTGACCATAATATCATTGGAAACAGCACGATCCGTCTATTTACAGAATTACAGTAGTCATTTAAGTGAAGCCATTCATTATCATCACCTAGCGTTGTTCCGTGTATTTTAATACCAATTCGCCACGTCCTCTGGTATATATCTGTTTTTTACGACATGCTATTGTTGTGTGTATGTATTACTTCAAATTGTGCCCTATTACTCTACCTTGATATTTATGCGGAATACTCCCTTCTTTTTATTTTTTCTCTTTCCAGAAATACGTCTTTAGGTTTGTATCACATCTTCCTATTGACTGAGTGTATACAGTGGCAGTTATCCTTACCTTCTGTATCTTCCCTGGTATGTTAAATGTTCGACTACTTTTACCGGCTTTGTAGTTCAAAGATTGGCGTAATAAAACGTAATATGTGTAGGTCTCGTTTGGTTAGTAAACTACAGACTTTATTGTATATTCCACATTTAGACGTACATGTAGTAAGGCTTTAAATGAACATCTCAAGGTCGATTTGATAATGCTAAGTTTGCTTAGAGAACAAGCAGCGTGTTCGCTAGGTTCTCAGCAATGGTAAGAGTAGAGGCCTTTCCTTTAGACGTCACAGCACTCCGGTCTCTTAGAGTGTATTCATGTTTGTAATTCTAAACTATTTGTGGTACTTTGCATTTTGAGGCATTGAACATATGTTGCCATGTTTCACATTTCATTTAGGATGTTTAATTCTGTGTAGCGTGCTTAGCTTAGTGTGATTTACATTTCCCATACATGTGACTCTTCATATTCATAAATAACTAAATAGGAATTATCAAAATAATAAGTTCATAAGAATAACACTCAAATGAATGATTCTGGAAAAGGTAATGTCTAAAACTCATTAAAAAGACGTCGAAAATTAATTGAAACAATCTTTAGATATTATAATAAAAGTAGTTAAAACATAGCAATGATGTCATAACTGTCCAATAAGTTGGTGACACTGTCCAATATGTTTGGTTAACTGTCCAATAAGTTCAATAACAGCTTCACTTATTCCATAATTGTGACATCATAGTCTGAGGGTTCGATGGACGAGGCCAAATTCATGGGAATATGGGGATATTGCTAAAAAAAGCATACAAGGAGAATTTTTATTATGATATTTTATTATTTTAACATAATTAACAGCTTTTGTCCTGTAGTAATAGTGCTATAATCCTTAGAATTGAACACATACATTCCAATTAATCTGAATTGATAAGAACAACACGTATAGTCTTAATACGATAGATAGAATGTAAGCACAAATGACATATTCCCAGAGAAACACGAATTTCCCTCCTGTTATTGGTTTCTACATATTCCAATGGTGAGGTTGCTGTCGCGACCTTTGTCTTTTTGTTACCCTGAATGACGTGGCTAACATTTATCATTTGCTCGTTATCGGTACGTTCATAACCTCTAACTGCTGACGACCGCTGTCCAGATTCCCCCACAACTAGTTGTTCGTCAACTCCTGAGTTGTATAACCGAGTTGCTGCTGTCGCACGTAACGAATGGTAAGTGTAGAATCCAGAGAATCCAGCAGACATGCACAACATACATTCCAACGGTTTGCTGCAGTNCCCCCCCCCCCTATAGGCGAAACACTATACCACACATCAGCTGAAGGGAATTTTCTTGGTCTGAGATACAGCGCATCGCATTTCCCATTTCTAGGTTAAAACAAATAACAGAAGGTGACAAAACAAGACTAATTTGTGAAACCTTTCATTATAATTATCTGAACCTGATTTCATAAATGAGTTGACATCTACAGTGTTATAAATAGGTCATGAAAAGAATGGATTGATCCAATATGAGGACAAAATTATTCTGTGTCTAATGAGATTTTATAAAAACAATATAGTATACATGTAATGTGTGCCTTCAATTAATGTCATTAAGAAAGTAGGGGATAGCCATTCCATGTCCTGATTAATATATATGTAACTGAAACTTTTGTTTTGATTTATTAATGTCAATTTCTTACCTTAGTTTGATGTATTTTTTGTAGATGTGCACTGGACACCTGTCCGGGTTAGTTAACGTCATTCCCGTAGGCCCTGGTAACTTTTGGTTTTACTTTGCGGTGTAAAATCCCTCCAGTATTCGTGTTAGAAACATCCTCAGTGTACTCCAGATAAACACGGCTATCAGAGTCTTGTTTTTCCTTGATTTGACTTAGTGGGCCATGTCTCAAACTCCGATGTTCATGACCAGCACGTAATGCAAAATGTATTCCCAATAAATAAAGAACTGTATCAACAAATTTTTGAGGGGTGTCAGTCCCTAAAATCCTCTTTTTCCACATCTCGGTTTCTTGTTTTTCGGTGATTACTTCTGCCTGGCGACTTTGGATACCAAGTCCCTGTTTCGAAAGTGTCTTCATTTTGTAATCCAATTTCACGTAACCCCGAAAATTCTTTGTCATCCAGAATATTTACGAAATATCCTTTACTTTGGAGTTGCAAAGCGATGACCAGTTCGTAAATAGTATTGGGTCTATAATTTCTCCCAGATTGGTTTCTGACTTCGGTGACAAAATAACTGAGGGCATCATTTTACTCTAAAATATTGTGTCCAAATGTTCTTATGTTTTCTGTCCTTTTTGCCACATTTTCACGCTCCTTTTGCCAATTTTCATATGTCCGGATAGCCCACTTTGTTTTCTTTCTGTGTTAGCACATAGTCCATTCTTCTGAATATTTAGTAACTCCCCTTCCTTCAGAGGTTCTGCAAATCGCTTTGTCTCCAGTTATTTTTCAGCTTTCTCCGTCTCCTGTGTAATATGTTCTATTCATCCTCAGATATATCAGAAAACATGTCTGATTTCAATGAGAAGTTTGGTGCCATATATTCAGAATGTCACTCAATAATCCATCAGTGTCTATATATTCCCCAGAGGTGGATTCTCTACACTGAGATTGTGTGATAAATATTGCAGCATCACTGTCTGAAGACATTTTAGAGAGTGAACCCTGTGAATGATATGTAGTGACCAATACATGCATGTCCTTCACCTCACCTGTCCAATAAGTAAGCAATAGAATGGATGTGCCGACTTCACTCACCTGGCTACCTGTATTATAAGTAAGTATCATAAGTTTGACAAGAAATTTCAGCCCTACGAGCCTCGATTTCTTCTCACACTTATTGGACAGTTTGAGGTTAATATCCATAACTTAGATGGAAACTATTCAACAAGAAATTGATCGGTTATTGTTCAAAACAAAAACAAAAACAAAATAAAAAGGGAAGAAAGCATTAAGGGGAATGTTTTAGAGCAAGAAGAACTTAATGGAAAGTATATGGAGAAAAGATTTTTAGATACTTTTGTAATTCAAAAACAGGACATTTCACTGAAAAGTACAACTAACATTTCCGAAATTTTGAATGGACATTTCGCTTTTATAAACTTTATGCAAATAAATGTTTCACAAATTCCATTCACTGTAATAAAAGAACTGTGGAACCGCCGATAAGTGAAAAACAAGGTCGGATAATATGTAGAGAAAACAAGGTAGAATAATATGTAGAGAAAACAAGGTAGGATAATGTGTGGAGAAAACAAGGTAAGATAATATGTAGAGAAAACAAGGTAGGATAATGTGTAGAGAAAACAAGGTAGGATAATATGTAGAGAAAAGAAGGTCGGATAATATGTAGAGAAAACAAGGTAGGATAATATGTAGAGAAAACAAGGTAGGATAATATGTAGAGAAAACAAGGTAGGATAATATGTAGAGAAAACAAGGTAGGATAATATGAAGAGAAAACAAGGTAGGATAATATGTAGAGAAAACAAGGTAGGATAATATGTAGAGAAAACAAGGTCGGATAATATGAAGAGAAAACAAGGTAGGATAATATGTAGAGAAAACAAGGTAGGATAATATGTAGAGAAAACAAGGTAGGATAATATGTAGAGAAAACAAGGTAGGATAATATGTAGAGAAAACAAGGTAGGATAATATGTAGAGAAAACAAGGTAGGATAATATGTAGAGAAAACAAGGTAGGATAATATGTAGAGAAAACAAGGTAGGATAATATGTAGAGAAAACAAGGTAGGATAATATGTAGAGAAAACAAGGTAGGATAATATGTAGAGAAAACAAGGTAGGATAA